CAACGGTTAGGATTTGGCCACGTCACCCCTAAAAAAATCTAAGGCTCAGATTAGCTAAAAAAAAATATTGAATTTCAAGAAGCTTTGCAATGGACAGTTCATGTGTTCACAGGTGCTTTGACTCTTCTTTCCCTTTCACATCCATGGCAGATTTGGGTCTTCAGTTTTTCCAAACCCTTCAGCAACCCTCACGCACCACCGCAACCTGTCGGACTCCTCTCCCCCACCTCCACCCTTACTAGCTTCGGCCGATCCAACACCACCCTCCCCCATTGTTCTTCTAAATCTGAATTTTTTCAAAGAAAATTTCATGTACAAATCAATAACTCTCCAAAAATAATATAAAGAAAGAAATCAAAAAATCAAAGAAAAGAAAGAAATTGAACCAGAACTAAAGTGTTGAATTTGGATGACTTTATGTGGCTTGAATTTTAGAGAGAGAAGGTGGGTTTGCTTCAAATTTGTGGCTTGATGATTTTAGCATTTGATGATTTTAAAAGCTGTTAAATTTTAACACCCAACTGTTTCTTTGAATATGAGATTTTAACTTTTAAACAAACCCAGATTTTTTAAATCATGATTTTAATCCATGATTTAAAGAAAACATTTGCAGATTTTTTAAATCATGATTTTTTAAATCTCTGAAACTTTGGTGGTAAATTTGCATTTTTAGACAGCCACCATTGGAAAGAGACAAGGGAGGGAGGGAGGGAGGGAGAGAGAAGAGTGATTGGTCGTCGGCAGCGTGAATCGGTTGTTGTTGTCTACCGTTGGGAACACAAAGACGGAGAAGAGAGGAGAAGAACGAGAGAGAGAGCAAGCAATATAGCACAATTTTTTTTCTTTTTTCTTTTTAGCTAATCTGAGCCTTAGATTTTGTTAGGGGTGACGTGGTCAAATCCTGGCCGTTGACCAGAGGGAGGGCCGGAGAGGATCTGGACTCCCACTACATAGTGCACACCCAATTTATGGTAAATTCGCAGCCTATTTATAGGCCTAAATAGGTATTCGCAGTTCGATTACGAGCGGAGAACCTCTAATCTGTCATCCGTCTGTTGAATTGGCGGATTGGAGAAAATCAATCAGCATCTATTTGCCGAATTGACGGATGCAGATTAAGTGGATTGGCGGATGGATGCGATTATTTTTTTAATTAATTCTATTAAATAAAAAATATTAACAAATGGATATTTATAATTTTTTAAATTATAAAAAACAATCTGTATTTTAAATAAACTCAAAATACATATTTAGAATTTACCCATTTAATTTTTTTAATTCAGATGCACGTTATATCCAAAACGTTATAAATATGTTTGATTATCAAATTTGGTACAGTGAAATTGATGGATGAGATTTGGAGTGATGGTATTAAGTTTAACGTAAATTGCGTTTGTTGTGCACAATGCGCTGATATTGTTTAAAATTAAATATATAAAATTACATAAAATCTATATATTATATAAGGAATTAATCCCAAGTCTTATGGGAGTTCTAATATTCTAATCTAAATTTCTTTATTTTTTGATTTAAAAAAAAAATCTTAGCATTTATTAACTTCTCTCAACCCCCAAGCTTTACCCTCATCATAATACTTTAATGCATTAAAAATAAGTATAAAAAAAATTTCTTGAAAAGTCCAACACATATGAATTTCTTAAAAAATCTAACACATATGATTATTATCCCTCATAATAACATTTTGATTCATTAAGAATAAGTATAAAAAAAAATTCCTTGAAAGTCCAACATTTATGAATTCCTTGAAAAATCTAACACATATGATTATTATCAAAATATTAAACTTTAATATAATATAAAAAAGAAAAAGAAAAAAGACATTTAAAATAAATAAAAAAAAGACATTTAAAAATCGCAATTCACATATATAGATAATTGTAAACATAATTCATGCATAGCACGGGTGATATGCTAGCTGTTATTATATAAAACGGTAGTGCTAGAGGCCTCGAATGCGGTTTTTTTTTTTTTTTTTTTTGTGGCTGTGTGTGTTAGTTTTTTTTTTTGTTTTGTTTTGTTTTGATGTTTTTTTTAAGAGTGGTTATGTGTAGGAATGTGTCAAAAAAATTAGACATTCTGCACCAACTCATGTATAAAATTATATGAAATTAACAAAATTTAACCAACAGCCTAACTGATTAGTCAATTTTATCACTCAATCAGTCCAACCTAATTGACTGATCAATTAGATTGTTGGTTAAAATTCGTTAATTCCATATAATTTTGTACGATGAATTGGTTGCGGATGTCTAGTTTTTTGACACACCCCTTCACATAACCACCTTTAAAAAAAAAATCAAACCAACACAGCCAAACAAATAAAATTAAATTAAATTTAAAAAAAAAATTGATCAATCAATTTTATCACCCAATCAGTCCAACCTAACTCACTTATGAAATGTCTAATTTTTTTTAGCACACCTATACATAACCACCCTTACAAAAAGAAAAGAAAAGAAAAGAAAAGAAAGGGAAAAAAAGTATAAAAAAAAAAAAAACTAAAAAAAAAAAGTCTAAACACAGCCTTAGAAGGAAAAAAAAAAAATTCAATTGGAGGCAAAATGGAGGCCTCAAACATTATTCTATATAAAAATGTCCCAGTTAGATCATGCACTCTAGGTCTCATACCTTTTTTCTGTATAAAAATGTCTCAGTTAGATCATGGACTCTTGGTCTCATACCTTTTTTGTTTTTTTAAACCAGATTTATGTTGGACTCTTGTGATTGCTAAAGTTAAACAAACATGGCTTACATCTGATTCAAGACATCATTCAGACTATGTTAATCTAGTGGGTTTAAAATTTTATATTTATTAAAAAAATAATAATAATATTAACTTAGAAAAATATTTAAGAGCACTAACAATTAGAGAGCTCTACTTATATAATAGTGGATCCCATTTATAAATAATTTGATGTGTATATATATATATATATATTTTTGCTCCATAGTACATCATTAATATCATTGTTAGGACTCAAATTTAAAATTATAAATGATTGCTCATTAACTTAACTTATCCATATCTAACCAAACAAAAAAAACCTTTACAACACATGATATCATCACATTCGTTTTTTCGATTATCAATTCTGATTTCACTTTAACCGCATCAAATTACCACCAACGAACTTAACTACTCATTTCAATCATATCATTGGGCTTTCGTTTGGCATAAATTAAATTAAAAAAATTTTAACTAAAATAATTTAAAAAACATAAAATATATTTTTTATTTAAATAAGACAAAATATCACATTCAAATCATAATCATTTCATTTTTTCTCTTATAAAAATTAAAAAAATCAATCTCAAACGAGACTTTTTAATCTAAAATTAAAATAGTCAAAAAACTAAAAAATTAATGCACATCCCAAATGAATCCATATATGAATATGCTAGATTAGTCCCTCCATCTCCTTCCTTTACCACTACCGTCTCATTCCTTTTGCTTCATAACCATTTGTCACTACTATCGCCACTATCTACCTCCATTTTTTCTAAATTACTATTCATCGTGCACCCTTCATATGGTCGCCTCTACTAAGTAGTTTGCACACCACTTGTCACTACTATCGCCACTATCTACCTCCATTTTTTCTAAATTATTATTTATCGTGCGCCCTTCATACGGTCGCCTCTACTAAGTAGTTTGCACACCACTTGGTTCACGGCATCTTTGTAGAATTTTTTTTTGTCATTTTTCAAGTCGATGAAAGTTAGGGTTAGGAACTTAGGCCTCGTTTGAGAATAGATTTTTTTAGTAATTTTTTAATTTTTTGATTAAAATATGAGATAAAAAAATTAATATATTTGGAATGATTTTTTGATATTTTACGAAATGATGTGCAAAAGTAGAGAGAAAAGAGAATCTTTGGACTTGTTTGGTTTGACTTTGGGAGATAAATTTTCAAAAAATATTTTAGGAAGAGAGTTTAGAAATTTTTGTAGTGTATTTGGTTGTTTATTTTGAAAATAGTTAGAGTTTGGGAGTTTGAAATAATTTGATATTTTGTTGTAATTGAGTAAATGTATGCGAGAGAAAAAGTGATTGAAAAGAAGAGAGGAGAGAGAAAAAGTGATTGATTGATATGTAGAAAAGAAAAAGTGATTTTAAAAAAATTTTGAGAAAAATTACAAACCAAACAAAATTTCTAAAAATTTTCTCCAAAATCTTTTTCTCAAAGCCAAACCAAACAAGGCCTTTGACTTTTTGGTATAGGTTATAGACTTTTTGATTTTTTTAGTAACTTTTTGATTTTTAAGCTATAACAGTTAATGTCAAACGAGGCCTTAGTTTTCGTTTCATTTATTTTATATGAATGAAAGAAATAATATTATCATTTTTTTTTACACCAATATATATATTTTTTTCTTTGTTGATTCTTATATCTTCACACTATTTTCTGGTTCTTTTAACCTTTAAAAAGAGATATCAATGTAATTATATTAAAATTTTGAGGATAATGCATTTTTTTTCAAACTTGAGAAAAGTTAATGTAATGGATAAATTATACTAATAGTCTTTATATTTTGCCATTTGTATCATTCTAGTCACTACACTTTCAATTTACTCATTTTGACCCTTAATTTCAAATTTTGTGTCAATTTAATCTAATTGATATAATCATTTGGTTGTTTGATAGAAAATAGTCATTGAATTATTTGAGGTTAAACTATTGAATTGATTAAGTCTATAATTTTACCTTAAAAGTATAACGCATATCACTTATGTGTATATCCGTCATAAAAATGCCACTGATAAAAATCAATTGAACCAATTTCAAAGTAACAAATTTAAGATTAAAATCAAACTAATTAAAATTGAGGACACCAAAATTCCCCAAAATAATATAAGGTTAAGTATAAGCACCAGTAGTGTAATTTGCCCTAATGTAATTTACTCAATAGAAGTTAGGATACATAAAACGACGTCGTTAGAAATGAAATCAGAAGGAGCGGATGAAAAGCTCACAACGAAACCAACCAACCAGCAGTGGCACTGCTCTCTCTCTCTCTCTCTCTCTCTCTCTCTCTAACATGGCCGCCATGTTAGAGCCACCGTTTTCAAACCCTCTCTTCTCTTCCAACAATTCTCACAATCTCAAATTACTTCAAAAAATCCCTCAAAACCCTATTTTCCTCCCGCTTCTTCGCTCTCTCACCACCACCACAACCGCCGCCGCCGCCTGTTCCTGTTCTGCTAGAAATGTCGACTCGCCGGACCCTGACCTCAGTCTAGTCATTGCACGGGACCGAACCACCAAAGACCGCCGCAAAGTGGTCCGACTAGCCTGGGAGAAGCTGGTCCGATGGTCTCGTTCTTGGAGGTCCAAGGCCAAGACCGACGTCCTTGAGCGTACTAATAAGGTTGCCCTACTTTTCTCATTCATATATAGATATATATATACTCACATGCATGTATATGTATATGTATATGTATATGTATGTTATTGATTTTAGTATCGGGTTCTGTATCAATTGTTTGGTTTTAGTTCTTTATGAAATTCTGTTTGCTTATTTGGGGAATTTGAGTTTTCGAGGACTTGCTTGGGTTGGTGCACTTTTGGTTCTGAGAATTTAGACCTATAATTGGGGGAAAAAAACTCTCTGGAAAGGAACAGCAATGGCTCTTTTAATATGTGACATTATTCGTTTTCCAATTTCAGCATTTGTTAATTGTTTCTTGCCTTTTTGGTATGATAATATGACAAACAAGATACTGTTCAATTTAATTCATCAGTGGCGTAGTTAGGAATTTCAATCAGTGGTGTCATTTAACAAGTCATCATTAATGTTATTATTTTGTATTTTTAGTTCTACAAAACCTATTAATAATATTAGCATTCACATGATACTTGTAAATCACATATATATTTTCTATTACATTGAAAAAAATAATTCAAATTACTAAATTAAAAAAATCTTAATATTTCAAAAAAAAGAAAAAAAATATTTTATAAGAATAAACACTATAATGGTCGTTAGAGAACTATATCGTCAAGACTCGAGGGAGAACAAATTGTTAGAATTATTCGAGGATAAACGCAACATAACTAACTGTTAGAATTATTTGAGACACCCGACATAAAATCAATTGATTATGTGTAGAGTAGCCTTTAAATTATATAATTTGAACTTGGGTGATTTAGAGAAGATGTGGATGAATCAAACTTGGGTAGTTTAGAGAAGTGATGTGGGACAAATCTCAAATAAATAGGTAAACAAATCAACAAATAAGTGGGTAGTTTAGAGAAGTGATGTGGGACAAATCTCAAATAAATAGGCAAACAAATCAACAAATAAAGGGTACAAAGACAAAAAAAAATAAAAAAAATAGATTGCATTATGACACTAATTGGCCTTAAATGGAGTAGTTGCTAGATTATATGAACTCAACTTGAGTGGTTTAAAAAAAAATGCTATGGAATAAGTTTCTAACATGAACAAATTATGAATTTATTTATAGAAGATTAAAAATTCAACATCAGGCTTGATTTTTGTTTTTAACTCCATTGGGGTCAATTTGTAAACTTTCAAAACTTAGTATTTTATTTCTAGATCTATTGGGTTCAATTTGTTAATACTCAAAACTTTTATATGGAATTTACATATACTCTTTAACAGAATTTTGAAGTTCAGTGGTGTCAACTAGCACCACTGCCATCAAGATAGCTACGCCCCTGTAATTCATGGTTAACCAAAAGAAAACTATGTAGTTGAGCAGTTTTCAAGGATGCAGATGGAGTTCCCTTAACCATGTGCCGTGCTCCCGACACATGGACACTCGTGTCTGCGGCCTGTCGGTATCTGACACTGGTTGGACATGAACACAACACCCATTTGGAGTGTCCATGCTTCTTAGATTGTAAGATCTTGTAATTTATTAGACTCATTTTGGATTATATAGGGCATTTTTGCCTTTATTGAAAAGTTTCCCCGAAGAAGCTTCATAAGAACTAAGGAACTGACTGCATTTGGATGTATGAATTTCAAATGAAGGGAATTGAAGTTGAATCTTATAAAATTATAAGAAGATTAGTTATTGAAGGTAGATGATAACTCTAAAGTAGAGGATATAGGAATGTCTCTTGTATTTTGTTGAGATCCTTGTACAAGTGGAATCTTTTATGGAAAGATTTCAAATAACTTTATAAAACTCGCAAATACATTTTTAATATCTAAATCTAAAATATTACATTAACTTAAGGACTATACTTCTCAAATTATTGATGTCAAATACATTCATTTCAAATCCATAAATCCAAAGGGAGCCTGAAAGAATAATGTAATGCAATTCTGTTTCATATTCTGTCATAGCCTAATCCACTTTGTAAATTTTGGTCAAGTCAGTTTTATTCTTATGTTTATAGCAAAAGTTTCAGTTATCAAGTAAAGTTGGACATTTTAAGTTGGTTTACCTATTTGTTTATTTTGGTTATCCTGTAAAATAAAGAAACCATGAAATTAAATCATCATTTCCATAAATAATATGCCATTGCAGTTATACTGTAATATGCGTTTTTCTACTTTTGGTTGTCAGGTGGTGGTTCTTGGGGGTGGGTCTTTTGGAACAGCAATGGCTGCCCATGTTGCAGACAGAAAGGCTCAACTGGAAGTTAACATGCTTGTACGTGATCCGCAAATATGTCAATCTATTAACGAGAGGCACTGCAATTTGTGAGTTTCATCTCAACTGCATCGCTTGTTTTGACAGTACAATTTTTTGTATCAATGTGAAATTAAACATCATAATTTTTAATTTGTCCCATGCCATTAACAATCAATCTATCTTGGGGAAAATCCTATAACAATCTTTTTCAAATTTATTTATTTCCTTTTGCTTTATGTTTCATTGTGACTTTTCCCTTTTCCTTCTGTTTTTTTCAATAATTGCATTCCATTATAAATGAATAATGCTTTATTCTCAGTAAGTATTTCCCAGGACACAAGCTACCGGAAAATGTCATTGCAACAACTGATGCCAAAGTTGCTTTGCTCAATGCGGACTTTTGCCTCCATGCTGTACCTGTGCAGGTCTCTTAATTAGCACTTGGGTTACCTATAGTTTCAGTAGAAGTGTTAATTTTGCAAATCGGTTTTGAACTGGGCATGGAATGATCTCAAACCTAATGCTTTTTTATTGCATTATAACATATGATATGGTTCCTTTTATGGGAAATGTAACCTGTATCCCTATTATAACATTAATAATGAAACAGGGACAACTGCCTGATGCAATCTATCTTATTGCAGTTCAGCTCATCTTTTCTGGAGGGAATTGCAGATTATGTTGATCCAACCTTGCCATTCATCTCCCTCAGTAAGGGGTTAGAGCTTAATACTTTGAGGACGATGTCTCAAATAATCCCTCAATCACTGAAGAATCCTCGCCAGCCATATATTGTACTATCAGGGCCGTCATTTGCATTGGAATTGATGAACAAATTGCCGACAGGTACCTTTGTTGAAAGTATATTTGTTTTTGTTCATGGTTGAAGTGATTAAAATTACAATTATTTTGCTTGTTTTGTGTTTTATAGCAATGGTGGTGGCATCAAAAGACAAAAAACTGGCAAATGCAGCCCAGCAGCTTCTAGCTTCCAGAAATCTTAGAATCAACACATCAAGGTATAAGATTTCCTCAAAATCCTCTAAATCAATTTGACGGTAACATTGAACGTACATGATCTTCTTTCCTTTCCCCTCCTTCCCACCCTTTGTGTATGTTTCCAGCAGGAAATGTCATAAAGAGATGAAATCAGCATTTATATTTTGAGATGCTTAACTTGTAACGTTTGATACTACAGGGATGTCACAGGGGTTGAAATTGCAGGTGCACTAAAGAATGTACTTGCAATAGCGGCTGGGATTGTGGATGGGATGAGTCTTGGTAATAATTCTATGGCAGCTCTTGTTGCCCAAGGTTGTTCTGAAATACGGTGGTTAGCGACAAAGGTATCTTACCCTTGAACATGATTTTTAGTGGAAAAGTATGATTAATTTGGACATTCAACCAGATTTTTTATTTGACATTCTTTAGTTGGCATACCTTTTACCTTTTGGAAATATTGGAACTATTGGATTTACTTCCTGAATTAGTAGGTGTGGAAGATATATCTACGGCCACGCAGTTTTCCTTTCTACATTATCTGGGAGAAGTTAAAAAGACTTTATTTTTAGGTACCAATGATATGATATGATATGATATGAATGGCATAACAGCTTATTCTTTCTTGCTACTGTTCAGCGAGGTTTATGCTTAAAAAGTTTTCATTTTATTACCTATCTTGAACCGCTAATTCTGGATGCTGGCATTATTTTCTTTGTAGGGACCAAAATTGGTTTGTCAATCTGATTTAGTTATTTTGGCTTAGTAGTTTTTCGTCTTTTTGTCCTTGATACAATCATGCTTTGCTTTTCTCTTTTCAATGAAGATGGGTGGGAAGTCAGCAACAATAACTGGTTTATCAGGAACTGGAGACATTATGCTTACCTGCTTTGTGAATCTTTCAAGAAACCGAAAGGTTGGAGTTCGTCTTGGATCAGGGGAAAGCCTCGATGATATACTAAGTTCCATGAATCAGGTCCTTGACAAAATCGTCTTTACTCACTGGTTAAATCCCTTCCAATTTTTGTATTCACTAAATGGCTATATTATGTAGGTGGCTGAAGGTGTATCGACGGCTGGAGCTGTGATTGCTTTGGCACAAAAATATAATGTCAAAATGCCAGTTTTAACGGCGGTTGCTCGGATCATTGATGAAGAATTGACCCCAAAGAAAGCTGTTCTTGAATTAATGAGCCTTCCTCAGGTTATAATAATATTCTGTGAAGTCCATTTGTGTACTAATCACCAAACTCATCACAAACATCAAATTTACCCCCCAAAGTGTTCAGTTAGAGGGTTACAACCCCTGAACTCAAATGGAACCCGAAGTTATAATAACATTTAGGTTACAAGTAGGATCGCAAATGAACCGAACTGCTTGTGAGCTCAACTCGATAAGGGCTTAACTCGGCTCGGTTTGTTACGTTCGAGATTTTTAGGCTTGTTTAATAAACGAGGCAAGCACAAGCTAAAATAAGCTTGTCTTGTAAAGCTCAGCTCGATTATTATTTATTTAAATAACAGGATAAATATATTATTTGTATATTAAATGATATATGATGTGTTATAAATTCATATTGTAAATATAGAATAATATTTAACGAGCCTACTGGGCTTGATTATCAAGGTGAACTTTTTCCTCATTACCTAGTTTCGAGCCAAGCTTGAGTATGATTTATGAGCTGGATTAATTTTTAAGCCGTGGTTGAGCTTGATTTCTGAGCTCGATAAACAAGCGAGCCATGCTCAAGCACTGCAAAGCTCAGCTAGTGCCCGAGTTCGGCTTGACTCATTTTGCAGCCCTAGCTGTAAGACCAATGGTGGAACTCATAAATGATCAATCAAGGGGCGAAATATATTCTCATTTGGGCTATTATGCATGCTATTTTGATTTAAAGACTCTAGATGGGCATTGAAGCCTTTAGCTTCGTGAAAGATTTCTCTTTCAATCAAAATTTAACTGGGCTAACAAACAGCAATGCTACATGCAAAGAAATCCTCATTTGAGAGCTTATGTGCATTTTGTGTAAATAGTATTTCTCGGCTGACAAATAGTGTTTTGTTAATTTCTAGGTTGAAGAAGTGTGAAATTCAGTGGTTCTATCAAGAATACAATTACCTCATCAGAGGGTGAAATGATGTAAGCAGATGTAGAGGTGGCATCTGCGTCAATAAATTCATGCAGATGTCAGCATAGAGGGACAAAATTCTTCTCTTTTTCTTTTATTTTTTTTTTATTTTTAATTTTCCTTAATCATGTAATTCTTTTACCTTTCTAAATGTTGATAGGAGAGCAATTCTGTAAATCCAATTTTGTAATTGATTGGTATAGGGAAATTAAATAAATGAGTGGACATGCTAAACAGGGGGATTCAATGTTTTTTTAGTGTAAAAACTTGTAGTCTTTGATCACTCTATGATACTGATGCCTGATAACATGATTTAGGATGCTACTAATAGCACCTACATAATCTCTTTAGAGCTTTCATTTCTTTTTATCCTTACCGATTAATTTTAAATTTTGTAAAAAATTCTTTGAACACTTCTCTTTTGCCCATCTTTCTCTGCCCACTACTACCAGCTCTGGCATCTTTCTCCATTTCCAACAGCTTGCCCTACTCCCTCCTCTTACTCCCTCTTCTTTCACCTGCCTCTCTCTCTTCCACTCTCCTTTTCTCTCTCTCAATCTCTATTCTCTCTAGGGAGGTTCGGGGAGGGTGGGAAAGTGGTTGATAATATTTTTAGGAATATCTTCTTGGCTTTTTATTAGTAACCTTATGATGATGTCGATGAGATGGAAATTTGTCTAAATGATAAACAAATTGGTCACAAAATTGTTGGAACTATTAGTCTTGAATTCTTTAGTTGGTAGTCTTCGGTTCTTCAAAACTTAGCAATGATCTTATATATGTAGAACATAAAATTGGTGCTTCAAGTTGTGTTAGTCGCTTTCTTAAAGACAATATTTGCACCCACCAAATGGTATGTAGGAGGTTACAACAAATTCGCCTTCAGTATACAATGAAGCCTGATCTAAGGATCAAGTCTACCGGCGTCTGTACTGACGACAGTAGATCGAAATACTCTTGATATAATTAAGAAAATCAAGACATTGATAATTAAGTTTGCAGAATTTAATTACCAATAGGAAAAGCATAAACTTGCTTAAGAAACTCTTGATCGAAAACTTTAAATCAAAAGGGGGGAGAGAGAGAGAGAGAGAGAAAGAGAGTTGTAGGAATGCTTTAAGGATTTTGGAATGATTGAAATGGCTGAATTCACTGCTTATTTATAGACCTTGATGCACTTGATCGAATGGTCATGTCTTTTGATCGCATCTAATCAAATCTGGTCGTTGGATCAACGATCTATGGTGTAAATCAATCTCACACCGAATAGATACCTTGATTAATCAGTGCCATCTCAACCGTACGATCGCATGCATCTCCAATCAGCGGCTATGATCAAATCGCTTCAGATCGGACACGCAACTGTTCGATCAGTTGGTTAACCCATCGCCAACGAACGCCACTACCACGCGGGGCTGACTGTATTTCATGTCACCCATGCCACATTAGATCCACGTCATCACTCTAACTTGTCCGATGCAAATAGAAAAGCACCCTCATGGCACCTTGCGAAGTGCAAAGTGCGCTATCAAACACCACATAGCCCATTGCCTATGCCGCGCGCGTGTACATATGCGGATGGTGCGAAGCACCATCCTTGCGGTGTGAGTGCATGCACACTAGCCTCCATCCCATAATTTCATATTCAAAAGAATATTCTATGTAGCATTTTATTAAGTGTTCCATGTTTTTCTCTCTTTTCAATGTGAGACAAAGTCTCAAAGCTTATTTCAAGCTTTCTAAAGAAAAACAAAGAAAGTTTTGAAAACACCCAAAACCTAAACTATAAATTTTGAAAATCATTTTGAAAATTCGCCAACATTCCCCCACCATTTTTAAAATACCAGATGATGATTCTTGGTTCACTTGGCATCCTTATGCATAAGTGAAGATATCTTACGATTTGAATCATTCACTTAGTGAAGATACCTCAAAGTTAGTCAAGATAGCATAGTAGCCTTGTCTTTGAACTAGTGATCTTATATGACTAACCGGGCGTGTCTCACACACAATATAAGTTACCCCAAGTATTCAAACAAACTGACACGTGAATTGGCCTTGTGTCTATATCCTGTTTCGTGTGCGTCTAGAGTCAAGCCCTTGGACTCATATGAAATGGCATCACCTTCTACACTCACATAGGTAAGCTTACTGAGAATACCCATGTAATTTATAATACTCTAACAACTCAATTGTAAGCTTATTAAAACTAAGTGTTTGCAATGACGACATATGGTGTACTTGGGCTCATTGAATTCAAAATGTTTCTTTAAGCGTTGAGTCAAGTTTCCACCAAGAATGATTAAGCCCTGGTTTGGCAACCATTTTCAAGCTAAATAAGCTCATGCGGACAAAAGTTTGCTAGAAAATCACAAACTACTAAAAATTCATACATGTGAGATGTGAGGCACTTGAGAAGGATGGACAATTACCAAACTACCCCATATACACCAATGCACATCTCTATGTATTTGCTAGGGTTCCATTTGCAGAAACACACCAAGTAGACGGCGACGAAGAAGAACAAGAGAGTGGGAGAAGACTGCACAACATCGGACGATTGATCCAGGCCAACAGCGCTTCCTCAATGCCTCGACCATCCTTTACTCGTAACATTGTTCTGTGTTTGCATCTCTGGTACGCATAACTCGATTTATTTTGGGGTTTTCCTCTTCTTGCACGAGATCTTACTTGTTTCTTGTGTGTATGTTCAAAATTCGTCGTTGTTCTGTTCGATCAGTGCTAAAATGCTTTTATTGGTCTCAATGGAGGTTTAAACCCGAATGTCTCTATACAGATTATGTGAACTGTGATTATGGGAACGTAAATCGATTGAACAAAGCATAGAGATTAAAAGTGATTTTATAAGCTTTTTGGTTTGGATCTGCCTTATTCTTCTCCCTTCTTCCTTCCTTCTTCTTTGCTTTTGTTTTGTCCTCTTTTTTTTTTTTTGTCTTTTTTTTAATCTATTACCATTTTTTTTTTTTAACTCACGAGAAATGGTTGCTTCCAAATTGATGAAATACTTTCATATTTTTTGTATTCACTTTTGTTTTGCTTCTTGATGAACTCAACAGAGCATTTGAACTTTTTTTTTAATTTTTTCTTTTAAATGTGTTACCATTTTTTTTTTTTAAAACTCACTAGACCTACTGTCCATACAATAGTTGCTTCCAAATTAGGGTTGGATAAGCATTTTGTAAAATAGAGAAGCAAAATATGAACCAATTTTAGAAATTTTTGCAAAACTGTGCCTAATGCAGCAGAAACACAAAAGACCATTTAAACATTTTTTTTTAAAAAAAAAATCTTTTAAATCTGTTACCAAATTTTTTTTTTTAACTCACTGGACCTACTATCCATAAAATGGTTGCTTCCGGATTGAGGTTGGATAAGCATTTTTTAAAATAGAGACGCAAAATATGAACCAATTTTAGAAATTTTTTGTCCCATGTGCCTAATCCAGCAGAAAAACAACAAAGCATTTGAACCTTTTTTCTTTTTCTTTTTATAATTTTTTCTTTTAAATCTGTTACCAATTTTCCTCTTCTTTTTTTTTTATTTTTTATTTTTACTCACTGGACTTACTGTCCATGAAATGGTTGCTTCCAAATTGAGGTTGGATAAGCATTTTTTAAAATAGAGAAGCAAAATATGAACCAATTTTAGAATTTTTTTTCTCTACGTTTGCAAAAACACAACAGAGCATTTGAACTTTTGTCATCAGTCAATTATGTAGTCCAGTTGTAATGTGGTGGATGGTTTATGTTGTTTGTTTTCTATATATGGGTTGGATGGAAAACATAATCAATGCAAATATGTCAACTTGAACTGGTTAACCCTTATTATGAGAGCACATAGACCATGGACATCCATAATGAATGGAATAAGATGATGTTGGAGAGAGGATAGAATGCTTCTTCATGTTTATCTTTTGTTGACTTTGGTCTCCTTTTTCACACTTATCTAAATGGCATTTGTTACTTGTGCCAACTAAATGCATACAGGATCAATCTTTTCCCCACCCTCATCAACCAGCAGTTTCACTCCAATAAGCTCCATTTTATAGCAACAATTTACTTTAAGTGGAGAGGGTTTATGCTAAGATCTCCACATATTCCATCCTTGTTTCTGAACAAGAGTTTTACTAACATTTTTAGAACAAATCCTGTAGTAGACAACCATCTCATTACCACACATATGATACACAACAAACACCAAGCATAAAATACAAAAATAATGCCCTAATCCAGAAACACAATGGCTAGCAAGAATCATGAAAATGTATGTATCAATTTAAAGAAGCGTCAAATGACAGATAACAACCTGGAAAAGCGCATTGCTGTAGGCTAGAAAGAAATAGGTGGCCATATGTTCCTTGTTTTGTGTGGCCATCACCTGTCACCAGTAACGAGAATAAAACTATAACATACATTTGAAGATATTCATAAAGTTGTACTATACACTATCTTACACCTTGTCTTCTTCTTCTATTCATCTATGGTACAAAACAA